ACACTCGCTACACTATCCACTTGATATTACTGCAAATCACGCGCCCCCTAACAAGACGGCCACAGGTGATATCTGACTTAAAGGGTACGTTATATATCCATTATTCTCAGGTAAATAGCTTTCAAGCAGAAATAAAAAAAATAGTCTTGTTTATGCGTATTTCAGAGGACATAACCATGATATGTACCAACAAATAACGATAAGGAAGTAATCTTGTTTTATACCAAAATATTTACACAACAAAATAGAAACACGAAATAATCATAGCTCTGTCGCTATGTCGCATGTTTATGTTTATGACTGTACAACAACTCCTACTACGTATCAGAATTTATTATTCCAACGACGCCACCCAGTGCTTTGCCAACTTCCGACATTATTTTGATACACTATGTATAGATGATGCAAGAAAATCCAACATGTAAATTGCTGCACTGACACTCAATTAACAATACGCCTACTCTAAGGAACGCGTAAACATAACTCCAATGAACAAATTCCGAAAGACGACGACTTTAATCAAAATCCGACATAAAACACGTCGTGTAATGTAAACGACCGAAATAAATTTCGCTTTGACATTGTTACCAATTTGGAACAAAGAAAGGACGGTCCGCGATAGTTCGGTGACTTCTGACAACACATATGTCAACTGTACATGAATAAAGACATTTGAGACGTTGTCATCGGAGAAAATAACATGATGCACTATTCTTACAACAATTGTTTTACGCTTTACATTTGCGAAAAAGAAATTCCTGTTGAGACTTAATCTACGACGAGTGAATAAGACGAGATGTTACTGAAAACGTTGTGATTGCTATCGCACAATTAAGATTCAAAACTTTTCACTCCTAGACTACCCACACATTCTCAATAATCAAATCGATAATGTTGCAATGCAATTTACATTCCAAGCTACCGGCTTGTCTACTGCCGAGAAGTATAGAGTTATTAAGATATCGTAAAGGTCAAAGGTTGTTTTAAATAATACCCGCAGTATAGTTAATACATGAATAATGTAAACAGCCTAAATGTCCTTTCCGTAGAGCCCGTTTGGCCTCACAATTTTAACGCCTCCTTACATAGCTATGGCGCACAACGTGTCAAACTCGACTTATTGAAATTCAATCAATTCTGTCGTGCCCACGACACTTAGGCAATGGACCGCTAGGGCTCAATTCAATACCAGCTGGGCTCAGTTAAGTGCGTCTGCCAATTGTGCAATAACTTATGCCCAGCTTGTCTTGGCCCAGCTTCATGCTCATACAGACAAGTAGATATTAGATGATACGAGTTTTATATTAACAATGTAAATACGGATGTGTGCAACACTAAATGGAACAATTACGAGCGATTCTAAGATTGGAGCAGTAAATGCTATCTGCTAGAGCGCACGGCGGACCATGACGCGGCGAGGTTAAATCGGGCCAACCGGCCCACGCCAACCGCTAATTAGGAAGTGCACGCGCAAGGGCGCTGCACCGCATGCGCACGATGCGACGCCGATTCTCAAGCCACGCCGCGTTCGAACAAAGACCACACCACCGAACAAAAGACACCACTAATGTCACCCAAGAAAAAAAAACAACCAGAAGGACAAAAGAAACGCGCGCGGAACAAAGACAATAGCAGAATTACGAGCGTTATGCGTGTGCCATGCTGTGTGGACAAAAGCGTGTTGTATAAAATTATGTTTTGTTACGGCTTGACGCTGCCGGACAAAACTGAAGCGCACAAGATTATATTATATTATCATCCCAGCTGACCTTAATGCTCTTGCATTCGGCGCCAAGAGTTAGCACTCTTGGCGCCGAAGACTAGTGTCTAGAAGGTCTTATAATATTTTACAAAGAAAGTCAAAAATCTCTAATATGACGAATCTTCGGTCGAAATACAATTCGAATAACGTTTGGGAAATCCTAAAAAACTAGCGGAATTTTCTCTCACAAAGTCTGCAATGACAGCCAGAGGTGCTTAGTTGAAATCTTTGCTCGCCACTTCCCAAGTGCCAATTTTTCCTTCCTTTGTTTCCAGCAGCTGGCATTGTAACAGAAAGATAGTAAAATTCAGTTTAAAAGTTCATTTTTACTCAATTTATTGACTACAGCCGTTGAGTCGTCTTTGCAAAATTTTTTGATGAATATTTTACGTTGTTGCACATACCATAAAACTGCTCATCTGAGGTGTAATTGATGTATGGCTTCCGAGAGTCATGCGCTTGATGAGCCAGTTGAGTCACACGCTGAAAAACGTTTACACAAAGAATTTTGTATTGCAATAATGGCTTTGATGTGGAAAGGGAAGTGTGACTTGGGTTTATTGCGACGTACTTTCTTAAAACCGGTGCAGACGTCACAAAGGGGAACGCACAAAGAGATACTGCGTTTAGTTAACGGAAGCACTTAGTTAGTTCTATTTTAGTAATGCGTCGCGATGGGAAAGCGCCGAACTACTGCGAGAATATTAACAACTCATCGGCACACTTAAATGCTTCTTTATTACGATCCCTTCATAAGCGAAGTGAAATCTGTTCATAAAATTACTTATACATTTCTCAATTCATAAATATCCGATGAGTGATACTCCGATATTGAATGCGTCGTGAACTTGGTTTTAGTAAATTTAGGCGTCGGATTCTTCCCTCGCCTCGAAGTTTCCAACGAAAATCCCGGCAAACTCCTAGGATATTTTTCTTTTGTCTATCTTGTAGTTGCTTGTATTTTGATGAATCCTTTGGAAACTCTTTTCTATCTTAAGTTATTTATTTATTTAGATTATGATGTTGCCCAAAGCCAAGAGCAATGGGAAAAGAGGAGGGAGGACTTTGCCCAGCAGAGGAACAAACGAGCTCGTAAAAAAAACTGATTTAAGATCAATTTAGCTCGGTATTTTGGTATTCAAACTGGGTCCCAAAATGTTTTTAATTAGATCGTATATTCAAAATTGCGCATTGGTTTGCTTTTGAAGTTTGAGGTCAGGCAAGTTCCGAACTTCAAGTAAATGACGTCGTTACGTTACACACGCGAAAAGTGATTGTCAGCAGCGAGCTAAATAGCAATTTCGAATTTTCCAGTAGCGTTTTCCTTTGTTGGTAGTCTCGTTTCTCGCCGGTCGGAAGACGAAAGCGAGTGCTACCGAGAGGACGAGTACCATTCCAATTTCAATAAAAGTTGAAAGGGAATAAATTGTCGGTCGAGGGGCAACCCCCGAGATATTGTATTTCGGGAGCCAGCTGACGCCGAGCCCTTCATTTGAAATCACAAAAATAATGAAATAATTCCTACTGATCAAAGGAATTACTGGTGTTTATGCGTATTGGATGTAATTTATCTGTTTATGTAATTAGTTATATGCAACATTTCGGGTTATAACATTAATCATACATTATTAATTTATTTGTGTATATAAAAATAAATTTAAGCAAATTGGCCATTTGCATGAAAACCGGACGCCTGCAAGTTTGCCACATTAAAACTTAAGAAAAGATTGTTTAAAGAATACCAAAGATAACGAAGAAATAGGAAATAAAAAGGAAAGTATTAAAGAATACTGTAGTGATAAATAAATATATGGAGCTATAAAGTATCACAACAGAGAGCGTGATATAAAATTTGAGACATAAAGCTGTCAGTTATTTCAGTAGACGTTATACGGCGGGCCGGGGAAAATAAATCGTGGTAGTATCGAAGTGTGTCGAAATTGGTCACCGGAGCACAGGTGAAAATGGATGGAAACTTGACTCTGTAGCCGTTTCTAGGTTCAAAGACACCGTGAAATTGACGCTGACCCATCATTCATCACACTCACAACTTTTTGAGATGACATTGAGTGGGAAGCGCAAAAACTGTGTTCATAAAGTTTTGCGAGCGTCATTGTGGTTAGCCTTCCATCGCACAAAAATGTTGAAAAGGTCAAAATTCTGAATTTTTTTAATAGTAATTATTTGTGTCACAACATAATAACCGGAAGAACGCTCATTAACGATTATAAACGAAACAAGCGGAGCAATGAAACTGCACATTAAGATCTGTTTGTCCAAAAAAACAAACAGGGAAGGAGTAACCGTAAGAATGGTCGAGAACAGCCATGACCACCCGAAACATGTGTTAATCACTTGCGAAACCAGTATTGCAATGCAAAGCTTACACGACGTATCTAATTAAACAAATGTAAATAATAGAAATTGAGCATTACTGCGCTACGTTTTTGAAGGGTAAGTGTGTTGGCGAAACTACGGGCACATGGGACTTTGGGATCATCATTTCTTTGCGATTTAAAGCTCTGTTTGTCCCATTATATGGTATCACAAAAAACTTTTGTTCTATTTACACTACCGTAGTGAAATAATTCCTACTACAATAATATCGGGGAACATCAATTCAAACTAAAGTTAAAAAACAATGCATCTCAGATCTTAGCAATTTATGCCTTTGAGTGGCACTGCAACTGTTATGAGTGATTATGATTTATAATTATGAGGCATGTCGCTCACTATCAGGCGCACGATTTATTCGTCCCGTAATTTGGTATCATAGAAAAAGCCGTTATTTATAACTATATAGCCTCAATGAAACAAAAATTTAACTGTAAGATGTAGAAGGTAGATACAAGGACGAAGTCCATGTTTCAAGCGCTGACAGCAGTGACTGACGAAACTCAATAACGTGCAGAAAACAAAGCATCTCAACGAACCGTTTGAGACATCAAACTGCTTCCATTATTCAGCAAATGCCAACATTACGTCTGTTCAAAAACTTGAAAAGAATTTTATTTGAAGAGAGAATGCTCATTTTTCTTTTCTTATCTGTGTAATTGTAGCGAAGTTTTCGAAAATATTTCTTTTTTTAAAAGCCACAAACGCTTGCCGTTTATGATTTATCATTTTGTGTAAAACAAAAGTTGAGAAGTTGAGCTAAAACTCACCGAGTTCGATGCCCTCACATTTGCGTTATCGATTAAGATTCCTGAAATGTTTGTTTTTGATTTGAAAAGGATACATTTCCTGGAAGAAGTCGAGGCTTGGCGGCTGAAGGATATCTAACGCCGAAAGGACCTGCGAAAAAAGTATAATAAATTTACTAAATGGCAAATGTTTATTTAACAAAGCATAAGAAACATTATTAAAAATTACATCATTTTCTGTTTTGTCTTTTATTGTATATGAATTTTTTTGAAAAAATTTTTTCGACGTTTCATTTAGAGTTGAAAAATATCTTACTAAACGGGTATTCGAGTTTTTCTATAATGAAAATAAGTAATGTAATCAGTGACATAGTGCCCTTACAGGGTTTATGTTGGAGCATGTGAACTTTAACCCGTTCATGGGCAGTGACGCAGTTTACTGTAAAATTAAATATCAGAATAATGATAGTATTAGCGATGCGCGATTGCGAATGATTTCGATATTTCACTCGTTAGTAATTACTAAACCTGTTATTTGAATAACAAAATAGTAACTTAGTAATTTTGGTATTCGAATGAATTATCATTCATTACTAATTAGTATTATTAATCAATCGATTCCATAGAGCATTTCTGCCTAGCCCTCTCTGGTTAAATACTGTAAATGTGACGGGGACAGGGATTTATTTTGATATGAACATGGTGAATGATCTGGTGAAGTTCCGAGTAGCTCCAACATAATAATCATTCGACTCGTGCACCCGACGGAATGACAAAGGCATTCGATATAGGCAATTATTAGACTCGAATCCAACGATCGTACTTTGAATCGACCTAAGCGAATGATTTGCCCATTTGAATGATTAGGATTAGTAACATTTAAGTGACGAAATTCTGCGCCTAGTTGGACAGAAGCGTAAACTTTTGCAGATCATCAAATAGCGAAAAGTTCAGAATCTGGGTCTTGTGCTTAGGCATGACAGATACGAGCTTCTGCAACTGATAGTGATGGGAAAATCGCTGGTAAAAGGAAAGCTGGTTGTAGGAAAAAAATGTGGCTGAGGAATATACGAGAGTGGACTGGGATAGCGAGTGCCGCCCAACTGTTCACCCTTGGCAGAAATGAAGATAAATATGCTGAGCTGACTGCCAACCTTTACTAGTTGGAGAGGCACCTTAAGAAGTAGAAAAACATTCAAAGTCGCGCATCGCTATGGATGAAAAAAAAATCAACTACGGGCATTACAGTGCAATTTCCATGTGCTTTTCGTGTAGTTCCGCCTACTGTTTCTCCATAAAGAAATAGAAACAACGTACCTACTGACAAAATCTATTTGTACTGGTAAATTGTTTTCTTTGAACATTTTATACTGAATTATATAAGCACTACGGCACCCAGTATGCGGTACTATTTAAGTACTTACTGTCTATGAACGGGTTAAGACCTTTAACATCGAAACAACATGAATATGAACGGATATTTGAGAAATTTAAAAGTACAAAGACAACGCTACACCCACTGGGGCAAGATATAATAGAAAATTTAAACAAATAATATAATAGCTCTTCGTAATACAAAACTTAACATCTTTGTGAAGTACATCAAAATTAAACTGGGTGATTCTACAATACGTTTTTTTTATAATATCAAGTGACGGGACGAACAAGTAGTGCGCCTGGTGGTAAGCTACACGCCTGTCCATAACAGTTGCAGTGGCACTCAGAGCTTTAAATCGCAAAGATCTGAGGGACACTGCCACTGCGCCCGTCACCCTGAGCTATAAGTTGACAAGTCTCATGTGCCTGTAATTTCACAAGCATCCTTTTACCCTTCAAAACCGGAACACAGTAATGCTGACATTACTACTTGGCGGCAGAAATAGGTAAGGTGGCAGTACTACCCTGGACGAACTCTTTCACAAGGAGATCTGCTACTAAAAGCAAAAAACAAGTAAAAATCATTACCAGTTTAATAAACAGCTATATCTCTTTGTGACACGTCATTTGCCTAACAAAGCTTTCGCAGTAAACAATTGGACCCAATTTTCAGGTTTCGAGATTATATTACGTGTGAACGCAATATGGTTCAATTATTATCTCGTTAATTAATTATGTTTCGTACCCATTAAGTGAATATCTCGTGTGTGATTTGAATGAAAATTCATCGGAGGAAGAATGATTGGTGTAAAACCTTTCTGAATGGATTTAAGTTTATTGAATGGTAGGATGTTTTCAATTATTTTTTTATTCTATTTAATATAATTCAATTTAATATAAACTGTTTTAATCCTTCCTTATCAACATATACATACGTACCACAGCAAAGGGTTCCAATCACGCCCAGAAAATTTAAGAGTAAAATGCGGGTTAGGCACTTGAAACTTCGTCGTCAAGTTCTGTGAATCTTCTCAAACTTATTACTTTGTGAATATAATTAAAACATGATAGCTTGGTTATGAAAACGCTTGTACGATTCCGAGTTTGATTCTCACGAGTCTTTAATAGTATAAATCTGCTCTTGTATCATTCAAGTACCAAGTACAGGTTCTTAACAAATTTTAAACATGTTTGTTTCTCGTATTGTAGGTAAAATTATGTATTATATACATACAAAAATGTTTCAAATAGTTGCAAATTATCACGTTATTCGTGCTTGTTTACTTTTCCAGAAGGCAAACCCTTCCGGCAGAAATGTCCATTAAAGTCCTGGGCCGAGATCCGTGCTCATCTGGGCCTCAGGCCCACTTCTTAGCTTATAATACGAGTTAAGAGCCTTCACCCCATCCTTGTAAACAGATTGTAATATATTATGCATGATCAATTTAAATACGTAACATATTACGCAGAAGACGTCACTGTGTGTTTTTGACATGTTAAATAGCTTAACATAACCTCTCATGTTTATGAGTTAATTTAAGTTTATGACAGAAAGAAAATATTTAATCAAGCAGCTAAATACAAAAAGCAAAATAAAGAAAAATTAAAATTTTTTGTTCACGTTAAAGAAGTTTTCTGAGAAACAATTACGCAGAACGGTTGCGAGGAAGCTAATTATTGAAACGTTTTTATAGAGACGTTTTTAGTTTACCGGAAAGTAAAGATTGTTGCGATAAGGGTAATTTTTCTTAGTAGAGTTTGTTTGTTGTTAAGGGCAGTGTAAAATGTATTTTACGGGAAAAGATAATGATGCTTTGTAAATTTTCATTTATGTTGGACATTTTTAAAGGGTTAGAGCCATTAGCGACCTCAATTAAGAAAAGGGCTTCCCCGTCCATATTCCTGAGGGTGTTGTAAGTGGCTTATAAGGAATATTTGCAGGAAAATGAGAGCCGTGTCTCACTTGCTGTAAGATGTTCTTCAACTGCCAGTGCCGTGCATTATATGGTTTAAGGTGTGCAGTTATAATTCGTAACCTCGATAACAAAACTAACCATATTTAAGAAAGTAATTTTTGGAAAACTGGCAAAGTAATGGGTTGTTTAAAAAGTTCTTGCGGTAACATAAAGTTCCTGGTCAAAGTCAAAGTATAATAATCTTTATTTCATAGGTAAGCAAATTACACTTGAAATCGTCATACTGACGAAACTGCACTACGGCAGATTGCCCTGAGAAGAATGAGCAAGAAACTAGGGGTTGCTCTTTGTAAATATGCATTTGAATACATTCATCATTACAATATTTAATATAAAAATCTTAGATCGAGACTATCTGTAAGGCTTAACTGGCGCAAAGTCGAAGCGTTGCGACGCGTCATGTTTTTCGCCCATAGTATGATTCATCTCTATTTTCCCATTATTAAGGTACTAATATGTGTTATGCAAACACGGAATCTCGCGTCGACGTGCGCTTTCGCCGCCTTCGCCTTCGCCTTTTTGTCGTTGAAAACGACGAGATGCGACGCTTCGACACTGCCTCTGTGAGTTTGGCCTAAGAGCTAAATGGGTCACTACCATGGATTTTTTCATTCAAGTACACAGAAGCTGTATAATAATCTTTAGTATAAAATTTTTGACTAACTTTAACGGGGTAACTTTAAACAAAAAAAACTTTTTTCTTTTCTTTTTTCTACAGTCATTTGAAAATAATGTTTTAGCGCGCATTTTAAGAATAGTCGGGAAGTTTGAAGTTTATAATTATATGAAGTTTATATAAGAACCGGGGAATCGTAAAGGTGTCTTATTTCATCATGATAATACCCAATAACTTTTTAAAGAGAGGTTTGGTATTATCTTGATGACATGACATGACGGTTTTCTGTCAAAAACAATTGGAGTTATGTTTGAATGTGCTATTTCATCTATCGTACTTGCCGGACATAGTCCCTTCAAATTTTCACTTGCTTTGGTCTTTACGAAATTCGGACTTGATGAAATTAATTTGATGTTTTACAATAATACTTTGATACCGCACGGACTTTTTGGCCAACCGAATAGATTTAAAAAAATGTAAGCACGTGACAGCCATATGATCAAAGCATTTGATCAAATTTGGCATAACATCTATTTGATAGGAAAAATAATCTCACAAAAAAAGCGTTGCCCAAAAATATAACTTTTTGAGTTATGTTATTTTATTGTCGGATGTCATATGTATTATGCTTGACTGAATGAGACAATGAAGGACTCTTTAAATGGTTTCAAGAAAATCCCTTGTGAAATTTTTTACAATATGATACTATACAAAAGCGTCCACAGTACATTAGAACAAAACATCGAGACAAACAAAAGACAGTCCATCCAGCCAGCGGCTTGTATACTAGGTAGCAATATCTTTCAGGAAACCTTGAGTTGGCAGTATAAACAACATACACATCTATGTATGCCGCTTTGTTTGTTTAGTATTGGAAAGGATTATGTTTAATTGTCCAGATTACGTAGAAGCTAATACTTATTAACACCGTTGCAAAAGTTTCGGGAAATTTGCCGGAAATAAGCATCAATCTGAAAATGCGCTATTTTCGTTTAGTGATCGTGTTGGTTTCAATGTGCTATTTAAGAAGGAATCTTACGTTTTCATGTTTGAAGAAGCACAGCATCTTGAGCTCGCGGAAGACGCGCTTGGAGGACACGAGCGACTGGAACACGTTGGGCAGCTTTTTGAGCGCCACCCGTCGCCCGTCGCGCGGGTCTGTCACTGCCCTGTAGATAAAACATAGGGTTATTGAATACATTATATATTTGGAAAGACTCTTACGTCAAAAAGCAAATTCTTTAAGTATCGTAAATTAAATATCAAATTAGAAGTCAGGAAATTGGAGTGCACGAAAGGAGCCTCCCCGCATGACGTGTAATCCCTTTCCTGTACGGTGCGCTTGAAGAATAAACCGATGCTATTGTAAAAGTATTGTTGGTTCCAATTCCACAAAAACTAAGATTTTATCAGCCCTTTACACGTGACATGATGATATTACAATGACGACAGATTCGCCTGAGATGAACGAATGTTAAATATGAGTAATAAAATCATGGATTACTTCAATCATTCGAGATTATTTATATTAACAACTTAAACTTAGTCACGAAACAAAAACATTATTACTGTTTATCTGAACTAGCCGTTCAGATTTAGTTCATGAAACAAGCAATAACAAAGATCCGAAATAAGGCTCTCCAATAGTACAGGTACTATGGGCAGCTAGGTCGTGTATTTGCCTTAAAACTTTGTGTATTACAAGAAATTTTTGTTCTAATATAATACGGGACGAACAAATCGTGTTCTTAATGGTAAGCGATACGTCTGTCCATAACAGTTGCAGTGCCACTCAGAGCTTTAAATCACAAGGATCTGAGAGGCACTACCACTGCGTCCGATACCCTGAGGCATAAGTTGACAAGTCCCATGTGTTAGTAATTCACCAGCACCCTTACCCTTCGAAATTGGAACACAGTAATGCGCTTGGCGGCACAAATAGGTCTTCCCTGGACGAACTCTTTCACAAGGAGCTCTACTGCTAGGAAACATGAGTACGTAGTTAATAATGGTGGTTAACATTATATCTTTCGTTACATTAATTATGGACAATTAAGAGCAAATTAAGTTCGATACTTTAGACTGTTCTTATCGTAAGCGGCATAAAGTTAAATTTTAATTTTTTGGTGTCTAAGCTTGAGGTACTTGACCCAGTACAAGTGTATTAAAAAAGCTTTAAACAGATCAAAGAGGTTCAAACGTAGTGCGCGTTAATTATTAATTTAATTTTTCAACTATTCTGCCCTCATTATCATAACAGACGTAATCGTCATTTGTAGCTAAATTGAGTTATTAATATGTCTGGAATCAGCCAAACAAAATCTACGACTCCCTCTAACCGGTTTTATTATAATCTTATTTAGTTATGTTTTATTTTTAAGCAAAATCAGCGTAAGTGAAAAAAAAACTAGGTGCCAATATCTCGAAAGTTATCAAAATGCAAATGCGTTACTTTTGACAAGGACGGCAGTATTATTACCCCACTGCAGGGCAAAGGCCTTCCAGCCCTCCCTTCACTCGTCGTGATTCAACGCCGCTATTGGCCAAGATGCGGTGTTGGAGAAGGATGCTCCGTATACCGTGGACCGCTATAAGGACAAACCAATCCATAATTGAGCAGCTTCATGTCGCAGACAGACTTTCCACAATATGCTACCCTCTGGTAGCATAAGGGTTCTCTAATTCTAAAAAATTAAAAATAGATCTACAGTATTTTGGTCAGATTGCTCGCTAACGACCAGATAACCTTGACAAACTGGTTGTGCTGGGTAAAGTGGAGGGTAAGAGACTTCGCGATCGATTACCCAACCGATGGAGTGACCAAGTGACCGCCTTCACTGGCCTCCCTATAACAACTGCCCTGCGAGAGACCGAAGACAGAACCAGATGGAAGAAAATCGTCCATAAAGTCTCGAAAACCATTCATGGACACGACCTTTAGCAATGAAGATAACGACTAAGAAGATAGGCCAAGATCTCATATGAGCAACCTAGCTCGTTACGCCATGTCCTTCTGGGCCTTCCACGTCTCCAGCTTGCGTTGGATGGAGTCAATTCCATGATAATCTTTGCCCACAGCTCGATTAACGTGTGACATATGTATCCAGCCAAGTTCCATTTCAAGCTGACGGCTTTTAAAAAACATCAACTATTAGTATTTTAAAGCTCGGTGTACAGTTCCGTACCTAACAGTTTTACTCCCAAGATAATTTCATTTAATAACCATAGTAGAATAATGGACGTCCCAATTTCAAAGCTGTTCAAGTAACATATAAATATATACTATACACTAGACCTGAACTATATATAGACTAGTAGAACGTAGAATAATCTCGTTATCAGTGTTGCATAGTTACATTTCTTACAGTTTTCGTAAGTTTTGATGCTCTCGTGTAAAAAGTAACATTTGTTGTTAAGGCAATTTCCATACATTTTGAGAACGATTTTTATTAAATACAACAATATTTGTTATAGTAAATCCTAAATAAATATAATAATAGTTTACGAACGCACCAAAATTTCACGAGAAAGTAACTCAAAGATGGCATAAATAAAATTAAATCAAACAATTTATTGGTTATTAAGAATGATTTCCCTTGGCCATATTACGTTGGTTTTTTTTAATTAGGAAATCGAAATGTATGTCGTTGTAACTTAGAATATTTTATTAAAAAAAATACAAAAGCGTGTTTCAAATAACGAAACGTATTTTTCGACTCAAGGGCCCTGGCAACACAAGTCGTTATAACAAAGTAAAAACTATACGCCAGCAACATTATCGTTCAATTTATGATTGACGAGGCACTCGGTGTGTGAGTAAAGTACGTGTCTGGGCCAGCTGATGCAGATCTCAACGAGATAAATATTTTACGACGCCAGCACTGCAGAGTGCACCACGTAAATCCTTACTGCGGACCTTAAAATTTATGTGGGATAGTATCTGATGGACAGAGCGGATTTTGCGGATTGCGCATGGAATTTCATTACCTTGCTCGTTTAATATGGTAGATTTTATGTTTATAGGTCGGGCTTTACAACGTGTAGAGTGCAGACCCCATGTTGCTATGTAAAATCGATAAAGACGAGGCTTATGTTGCTTTCGAAAGTTGATAAATTTAAATAAAAGTTTGACGATTTCGGTAGTCCAGTGGTTAGTGTTGAGGGTGATTGGTGCGAAGGATTTGGGTTCGATTTCCGATAGGACAAATTTAGATAACGATATTGAAACTTGGTGCAGGTCTAAGTGTCGTAATTTTGGCATTCACAGTACAGGGAATTCTCTTGTTTGAGATCAAGTAACTAATGTAATTATCTGATGGATTATTATTATAAAGACGAGATTTTTGTTCAAAGATTTGCGGTCTTGTGAACTTGTACATTCGAACGGAATTAATTATTGGATTTAAATACAATTCAATCTCCTTGTTTACTGAGATCACGAATAATAGAATCTAACCAAATAAAGCCAATATACGCCTTATTGCTGAGCAACGACATCGTCTAACGAAAGGCTAGGCTACAGTTCACAAAGGGTCCAATTACGGGAAACTTCACTCGTTTGCCAAGGACTGTGAACCATCTTCAACGTGCAGGTTTTATTACAATGTTTCCTTAACGGTTAGTGAGAGGTATAGCTACTAAACACTTACAAATGTACATAACTTAAACATTAAGTAATAGATACCGACACAAGGTATTGGAACCATCGACCCGTCCTTTGAAAAGCAAATGTCCTCCCACTGAGCTACTACGATCGATGTAGGTATCCTTTCCATCATCGGGGGACTAGACGTGGGATGAGGTTCCACCCTAATGTTGTAGATATTCCCAGGATTCTCACGAAGCATTTCGCTTTTATATTGCGAGTGGCTAGGGAATGGGATTCCCTGCTTGCGGACTTGTTCCCCGAACGCTATAATTTGGACCTTTACAAAGCGAGAGTGAATAGGTATTATTTAGGTGTGCATGCTACATCGTCGACCTTATCGTCACATTCCATCAGATGAGATGGAGGTCAAATGCGCAATAAATTTTGTAAAAAAAATCATCGATTCAAAGTCAAATGTTATATACAGGTGTCTCTTGGCAACCGGAGGGAAATTAAATATTACAATATTCTATCTATCTATCCTATCTACAGATAGGGTATTTTGGTTCGTGAAGACATTCTTTTATTTTTAAAATCAACACTGCATTCAAAGATTTTTTTAAAGTTGCTTGCCTCATTTGGGAATAGAAAGCAAAAATTAAAAAATTGTAATTTTTATGATGCGGGTCGAAAGCGTCAATTATAAGGCCTCATTCGGTTTAAGTAACACAGTATTTTCGTTTAAAAACACTATGAAGTTTTACTTTTATAAATTAATTTGATTTTTTTTATATTCATCGACAAATGTCAGCGACATCGAGAATCGCAAGACAAATCGCCGGATATCGTAAAAGTTGTGTGTCGATCTAGTGACAACTTTGACACGCATCTCTTCAGTCCCTTCGAGACCATGGACATTGCAACACGTCGGAAACGTCGAGGTAAATAAAATAATAACATATTTATAAGCAATCAAGTCCCAGTTTTTTAAAATCAAATAATAAATCAAAATGTTTATTACATACAACAAAACATTAAAAAAGTTTCCATGTAGCAAAATATCCTGTCAACAATATTTAAGGCACTCTCCCTTCGTGTTCCATATACGCATACAAATACATGTTTACAAAAAAAAAATACATACAATAAACCAATTCTTTAGCAAAGAAAATGTTAGTATTTTACTTTACGTGGTCAAAATGGTAATGAATGTTAAAACTTGAGCCAGTACATTCATAAAACCCAAGGAGCTTCTAGCGTGTCCATAAAACGCGATACTTTTGCTTCTACACCGACGAATCCACTGTACTCTGCCACTGTGTTGAACAATGGCAGGAAACGTGTAGCATCGTCAGGTTCAATAACTTAATACGACTTTGGCATAAAGTATGACGCAATGAATTTTGATTACAACATTAGCAATGAAATTTGGGTCGCGCATTTCTAAAAGTTGACAAAGGTTTTTCATACAAGCGGACACACATAGCTAACCACAATTATCACCCAAACCACGAAAGATATAAATGAAGAGTCCTGGGAAAAAATGATCACTTGAGAAGAATTTTAAGAAAAAAAAAATTT